TCCCCACGACAAAAGTCCCGCAAGAGGTCGAAGGAGAACTCACCACCTCTGTCAGAGTGCAGACGCAGGACAAGAAGGTCCTCATAACCGCTCGCAGAGCTAGAGACGGACAGCGCGGATCCAAGGAATCAAGACATCAGGGACCTCACCCTTGCTGCGCAAGGGGAAGACCGTGGTGTAACGCAGGTAGTCGTTAACAACCAGCAGAAAGTATCGCTCGTGGCCCTGTCCCTGGACGCGGGCTGGGCCCCACACGTCCATGTGGAGAGTCTTCAGAGGAGCAATCGTCGGGGGAAATGAGGAGTGAGGAGCGGCGCGCTGCCGCCCCTCGACGCAATGAAGGCAGGGCGGGGCAAGCGAGCGCGGGAGGGGGGGCAGAGACCTGGGAAGGCTAGAGACAAGGAGGCGGGAGAGCATACCACGTAGGCGTGGCAGGGAGGGGTGACCAAGGCGGTTGTGCCAGAGGAGAGTCTGGTGCGAGAGGAGGTGACACGAACAAGGGGCTGATAGCTGACCTGACGCAGACACCTGACCAAACGCAGCGACCTGAGTAGGCTCAGTAGTCAGTGTGTACAGGCTCGACCCACGCCGACGGGTGAACGTGGCCAGGTGACAGCCCGTCCGTGCACACATGCAGATCGCCACACGCTGTCTTCCTGGGGTAAAGGTATCAACCCAAGCATCCTGAACGACGGCATTACTCACCAAGTTCGTAGAGAACGAGGGGAGGTGAAGACCTGTCAGTGAGCTAGACGGAACCGCCGGACACGGAACAACAGTGGAGGAACGTGCAAGAACTGGGCCCCAAGAGGGGTCAGCCAGAGAGACTGCAACAGGTGCAGGAAGTGGTGTGACTGTGGTACTGTCGCGAAAGAAGGAGCGGGAAGCACCTGAGTAAAGCCTGAAGGTGTACAAGGCCTCAGTAGGCGTATTACCAGAGAGAGCAGACTCAGTAGCACCTAGAGCAGCAGCCTCTATACCAGGGTCGGGCGGCACACACTGATAACAGTCACCCTCAGTACCAATAGTCAAAGCATACATGGCAGTAAGGATAGCGTCATAGTCTAGAGCAAATATATCCACATTGTTCTGAAGCAGCTCTAGCCAGCGGGGGAGCTCATCCGCGTCGTCTAACTCTGCGCGCCAGGCGTCGCTCAGACAGGAGAAGCAGCGGGACTATGTGTGACCAACTGTCCCGCAAGTCGGACTAGCCCGATCACCTGTACGAATGATGTACGGGCAGCGAGCATTACTCCGAGACGCCCCACGCTGAGCGTACCACTCACGAAGCTGTTAGGGCGTAAGGGTCTCGCGTGGACGCCACTGCAATTGCATCTAGCCACCGCCAGAAACTCCCCACTGAAGACCCGCACGGCAATTGCCACTACGGCCGCCGTCACCACTCTCGCTAGCGTACCACTCACGAAGCTGCATCTTGCCACCGCCAGAAACTTCGCACCGAACAGCTCCACCGAGACTGCCACTACGGCCGCCACCACCACTCCCACTGCTGCCACCACCGCCGCCACCACTACCACCGCTACCACGAAGAGAAGTCATAGCGAACAAAGCAAGGAGGCGTGCGACCAGCAGGGCAGCACGCAGGGAAGGCAGGGCGGCGAGCAGACACTAGGGTAGGTCGGGGTGGCGCACGGTCAAGGAAGGGTGGCACGCGGCCAGAGCAGGGCGGCGAGCAGGCACTAGGGTAGGTCGAGGTGGCGCACGGTCAAGGAAGGGTGGCACGCGGCCAGAGCAGGGCGGCGCGCTGCAAATAGGGTGGCGCGCGGGCAGGGGAGGGCGCGCGGGCAGGCAAGGGCAGCGCGCGGGCTGCAGAGCTGCCAGGGCGGACGCGATGGGCAGGGGCAGGGCGGAGCGCGGGCAGCAGGGCGGCGCGCGGGCTGCAGAAGGCGGCGCGCGGGCAGGCAAGGGCGGCGCGCGGACAGGCAGGGGCGGCGCGCGGCCAGCAGGGAGGCGCGCGGGCTGCAAGGGGGCGGTGCGCGGGCAGGAAAGGGGCGGCGTGTGGGCCCTAGGGTGACGCGACGGGCAGGGCAGGCCGTCGCGCGGGTCCTAGGGCGACGTGACGGGTAGCGCAGGGCGTCGCGCGGGTCCTAGGGCGGCGTGAGGGGCAGAACAGGTCGTCGCGCGGGTCCTAGGCCGACGCGACGGGCAGGGCAGGGCATCGCGCAGGTCCTAGGGCGACGCGACGGGCAGGGCAGGGCGTCGCGCGGGTCCTAGGGCGACGCGACGGGCAGGGCAGGTCCTCGCGCGGGTCCTAGGCCGACGCGACGGGCAGGGCAGGTCCTCGCGCGGGTCCTAGGCCGACGCGACGGGCAGGGCAGGGCGTCGCGCAGGTCCTAGGGCGTCGACAAGTCCTTGATGTGGTCAAGTTGTCGCCCGCCAACCGCTTGCACCATTAGCATGTACGCGTCGAACGATCGCTTCATCCACGCTCATTTCAACTCCGTGGCCTCCGGCATCTTCCCTTCCCCTCCACCAAATTCAATAGCTTGTATTGGGTGTACATCAGCCTCATGCGGAAGCTCCAGTGCTCATAGTCCTCCCCCATGAATTTCTCAATAGAGAAAGCCTTCACAGGATCCACAGTTGTAGGAGATGGTGTAGAAGTTGAGGGTAGCATAAGGTTGGCTGGTGGGTGAGTCCCCACTCCTCCAACAGCAACTCCCCCCTGCTCTCCAGCCTCTCTACTTCTATCCTTCTCGCCACTAGCACCTCCGGAGTTCGTACCAACCATATTGAGGCCTTATGAACGGTGGACACTTGAGAAATCGTTTGGAGAGAATTCTGCCAGAAATTTCGATTCTACAAAAATCGCCGTCGCGGACTGGATACTTCGAATTAGAACGCGGTTCTACCACCAACCAAAATTTCACGAGCAAAGCTATTAGAAAATGGTCTCACTCGTCAACATTGGTTGAGAATTCACGACGATTCGTTGTCTCAAAGTCGACTACCCGCTCTGATACTACTTGTTGTTCAGGATCCGTCACTTTGAGAGCTTACGACGAACTCATTACTCAACTAAACGCAAATCCGCTCGATAGGATTGTGCGCCTTAGGCTTAGCTACCATCTCCAAGTTGAATCAGTCGTTAAGATGGTCTAGAGAGTGAGAACCACTTGAAAACGTCCAGCCGCCGCATGACTAGAATGGTGGAGGAAGTACAAGCATTAGAGCATAGAAAGTTGGAGTTGGGAATCTCCAAGAGAACCATGAGAGGGAAGGGGTTCTCCAAGAGCTAGGGAAGGATGGTAGGAACCTTCCTAGCAGCAAGGATGCAACCCTCATCATGAGGTCCTTGAGGTGTCACATGCAAAATCCAATCTAGTTGGATTTTGCCTAGGTGTTGCAACATTTGCAACCCATGCTAGAAACTTCTAGCCACCCCAATCCAAAAGTCAAAGTTGCCTTCCCTAACCACCCAACCAAAGATCTCTGTATAGTCATGTCCCAAGCAATCACCCAAATTAAATATAACTCCAAAAGGTGATAAGAAAATCAAGTCTTGGAAATCTTGTAACTTGGGCGATCTTGGTCGGAATGAGGCGATCTTGGTATCGTTGGAAAGCTCTGGATTTCTCCTGCATGATCAAGCAAAAACACAGAGATAAAAAATCCAACAGCCATGCACAATGACATATGCTCATGCAAACAATGCACGCATGAATAGCACGAGCACTCGGCAGGACGTTAGGATGACATGCACTCAGAATGACGTGCATCCAACACAGGGCAGGGCACCGCGCGGGTCCTAGGGCGACGTGACGGGCAAGGCAGGGCGTCGCGCGGCTTGCAGGGTGGCGCGACGGGCAGGGCAGGGCAGCACGCGACCAGCAGGGCGGCGCGACGGGAAGGGCAGGGCGGCGCGGCAGCCAGCAGGGTGGCGCGCGGGCAGGGCAAGACAGCGCGGCAGCCAGTAGGGCGGCGCGCGGGCAGGGCAGGACGGCGCGGCTGGTGGGGCAGCGCGATGGGCAGGGTAGGGTGCTACGAACAGGTTAACGCACTACAGGCAGGGAACTATTCGGTGGGCCCTAAAAAAAACGGTCCTGGAACAGGACCTGCTCTGAAACCATGTCAAAAGACTAAGCGAGAATGAATGAACTATGAGAATGGTGGGTACAAGTGCTAACCCTAATTGGGTTGTACCCCATATGGGCTACCCCACTACAGCCTACACAACACACACAACATAATAGTTTGACGTGTGTATGTGTGTGTATGTGTGTACGTTCGCGCATGCGTGTGTGTGTATGTGTGTTGGTGCGTGTGTGTTTGTGTGTGTGTGTTTTTTTTTTTTTTGAATGTGTGTGTGTATGTATGTGTGTGTGTATATATGTGTGTGTGTATGTGTATGTGTGTGTGAGCATACAGGGACAGCAGCCCATTCATGCTCTTGTCCTAACTGGGCGAGGTGGACGAGCTTGAAATGAGGCTTCTGACGCAGATCTCAGGGCATTGTGTGTGGCATTAGCAGGGCAGGATTGTGGAAAGAGGAGAAAAGAGGGAGTGGTTTTTGCGTCGACTCAAAAGTCACTGTATGTGCATTTGCAGGGGTAATTTGAAGGAGGGGAAAAGGGGGAGTGGGGAACCAGGTGTGTGTATGAGCATACACGGACAGCAGCCCGTCTACGCCCTTATCCCGGTTGGTCAAGGAGTGTGAGGATGAATTGTGTTACAACATTGACTTAACTGGTAACCGGGTTCAATAAAGGGCCTAGGCTTAGTAGCCTAGGCCAAGCGGGTGTCGAGGAGTTTGGGCCAAGGAGAATTGAAGTGGTTGGAGGTTCACTGTAAACGAGTATATATAGCAACCTAACAAAGGTGAAAGAGGTTCACCACCATACAAGGGAATTACACAACTGCTACACTACGTACATATTATACTAAATAGATATATATCTCTTTTGCCACACCCCCTATGTGCCTGAAGTGCATAACCATGTGGAGAGCCCCCCTTGAAGGAGATCATATGTAAAACCCCATTACAGGGTGTCGGAACACCAGCAAGGGGCCCCCTCTGAAGCTGACAAGCAGCAACCACCAAGCAGCATCTGAACCACCGCGGTGGAACAGGTGCTCGGCTGCAGTTGAACGCCCCGCAGCAGGTGCACGGTGTGCGAGGAGTACGGGTACAGGTAGCAGGTGCGGGTGGCAACTAGGTGCTGTACGGCACGGGCCGCACGAGGGTGACGGGCAGCACGAGACCAGGCAGCACAGACCGGGTGGGGCACGAGCGAGAACTGATAGCACGGGTGGGGCACGAATGGGTACGGACAACACGGGTAGGGCACAAACGGGCAGAACGGGGCAGCACGGGTAGAACGGGGCAACACGGGCAGAACGGGGCAGGACGCGGGCTGAACGGGGCAACACGGGCTGAACGGGGCAGGACACGGGCTGAACGGGGCAGGACACGGGCTGAATGGGACAACACAGGCAGAACGGGGCAACACAGGCACAACGGGGCAGCACAGGTAGAACGGGGCAGGACAAGGGCTGAACGGGGCAACACGGCACGGGAACGGGCACGACACAGGCAAAACGGGGGAGATCAGGGAGCACGGGGGCAGCATGGGAGCACGAGGGCAGCACGGGAACACGGGGGTGTCAGAATCCCAGCCACTAACCACTGGAATAAAAGAGCTTCTTTGTGTAGCTGGTGAGTGCGCCCATAACCCCCCAGGCCAACGTGCCTGTAACCCTTCCCTAGGATCAATCGGGGATCAGCAGTGGACCTCTGACACCCCCCCGCACTGGGATGCCCGAGGTGCACACACCGGGATTCGAACCCGAGACCTTCGCTCTGATACCATGTTACAATACTAAGTTAACTAGGAACCGGGTTTAGGGCCTAGGCTTAGAAGCCTAGGCCAAGCGGGTGTTGAGAGAATCGTGGCCAAGAGAAAGTGAGAATGTGTGGGGGTTCACTATAGCACACGAGTACTTGTAGCAACCTAACAAAGATAAAAAGAGGTGCACCACCATTCAAGGGCATTACACAACAGCTACACTACAGGCATATTATATTAAATAGATAAAAATCTATTTTGACAGGGGGCAGCACGGGAAGCACGGGACGCACGGGTGAAACGGGCGGGGCACAACCGGGTACGGGCAGCACGGGTAAATGGGTGGGGCACAACCGGGTACGGACAGCACGGGTGAGACTGGTGGGGCACAACCAGGTACGGACAGCACGGGCACGGGCACGGGGAACACGGGCGGACAGCACGGGCATGGGCACGGGGCAAGCACGGTGAACACTGATGGACAGAACGGGCATGGGCACGGGGAAATAAGGGCAACACGGGGCAGCACAGGACCACGGGGCAGCACGAGAAGCACAAGAAGCACGAGTAGCAATGGATCACGGGAGCACGAGAGGTGCAGGGCAGGAGATGAGAGAGGAGGAGGCGGCAGTTGCTGACTCTGCAGCTGAACTTTCACCACGCACACCCCTTGAACCTCCCCCCCCACAGCAGCAGCAGCAGAAGCAGCAGTAGAGAGAGAGAGGAGAAGGTGCCCATGCCCATGCGCCGAGGTGCCACAGTTCTTGAAGCTCTTGGCAGACACGGCTGCTAGGCGCTACTTCAGCGCCCAACCAAAGTCATTTCATGCAGCCAAGTTCCTGCACCTCTTCCGGCAGCGGTGGTCAGTGGCTCTGTAGAGAGCCCAATCAGTGGGTTACCTCATTAAGTCCAACCAGGCGGCGGTAGCAGAAAACCCACCTGTGGGGGGGGTACAGTCCAAGATCCACCTTGGGGACTGTTGTGCCGTGATAGAGCCTTTGTTAGAGATATAGTTAGGTGACCATGTGTGGCTTGTAGGTGGCATAGTGCTTATGTGTCCTAAGTTTTAGCTTCCTTACCTTGCATGCTTGAAATTTTCAGCTATATCAATGCAGGGACCATTAGAGAGGAGGAGGTGTGGCTGCAGTTGCTGCAGGTGAAACTTCTGTCACCCCCTCACACCCCCCATAGCCTCCCCCCTGAGCCGCCACCTCCATTTTCCCCGCCTCCCTTCCCACCCCTTCCACTATCGCGCAAACACAGAAGCAGGCAGGCATGGTAGTGGGGGGGGGGGCGACGAGGGTGCGTACGGACGGCGGGGAGCGTTCGGGCGGCGGGGTCTGGGCAGCGGGTGGCGAGAGTGGGGTGAGTATGGGGCGTGGACAGGCTGGCGCTGGCGACGATCGATGGCGCATGCAGCTGGCGGTCGTTGTTGGCCGTCCGCCGCCACGCCCTTCCCTTCATTTTCTTTTTTTTTCCCCCCCCACAGCGACCGTCGCTGCACATGCGAGCAGCTGCGACGAGGGGATGAGCGGGTGGCGAGGTGTGTACGGGCGACGGGAGGCGAGCAGGAGGCAGGGTGCGTACGGGGCATCGATCTGGGTGCGTGCTGGGCGCGAACGAACTGGCGCCGCAACGATCGATGGCGCAGGTCGATGGCGGTTGTCGCTGACGGTGCATCTGTCGCGGCTGGCGCTGGTTTGCGTCACTGTCGCAGCTGACGCTGGTCAGCGCAGATGTCGCTGCTGGTGCTGGTCGTTTGCGGCTGGTGGCTGTTGCGGCGGGCTCGACGGCGGATCCGTCGGCTCGCATGGCGTGCTCGCTGGCGATTTTGCTGGCGATATCGCTGGTGCGCCGCTGGAGATTTCGCTGGCGATTATGCTGGCGGGTTGCTGGCGGGTTCGCTGGCGTTCGCCCTAGCGTCCGTCGCAGCCATCGTGCTGAGCGCCGCGATGAGACAGGCGACGAGATGGCCGCGAAAGTCTCGCCGTGGCGCCCGTTCTTAAGGTCGCAACTAAGGACGTCACGGGCGCCATGACGAGTGCGTCAAATGGTGGGCCCATAGGAACGTTACGGCTCTGATACCATGTTACAACATTGACTTCAATGGTAACCGGATTTAACTAAGGGCCTAGGCTTAATAGCCTAGGCCAAGCGGGTGTCGATAAGTTTATGCCAAAGAGAATTGAAGATTGGTTGGAGGTTCACTATAGCACACGAGTACATATAGCAACCTAACAAAGGTGAAAGAGATGCATCACCATATAAGGGAATTGCACAACAGCTACACTACAGGCAGATTATACTAAATATATATAAATTTATTCTGACAAATTGGACCAGCAAGGAGTGTGAGGATGAATTGGACCGGCAAGGAGTGTGAGGATGAATTCTTCCGGCAAGGAGTGTGAGGATGAATTGGACCAGTGCTGCGTCTCACATCACCATCAGCAAAATGAGACAATAAAAGCATATCTTCTCACCCTGGCCAGCCAAAACTGAAAAAATCAGCCTGTAACGACAGTCAATGGCCCATGCTCAAGAAAGCAGCAGTGCAGGGCACCTCCCAGCTGCTCAACACACAACCCTTGCCTGAGACAACGGTGCATCTGCTGTGCCTCTCACTCACTCCCTGACTTGCTCTCACTCATGTGCTCACCAAGCGAACCTTGCCACGCGACCCTTGCCACGTGGCCCTTGCCAGAAGCTACAGACAGCCACTGGCGTCACCCACCTGGGAAATAGCGTTGCCCAACCAGGCTTTGGCCACGCGGCCCATGCCCTCCACATCAGTGTACGTGTGCCACCCGCAGTAGTTTATGCAGAACCAGGCTCCCTCGTACGACGACTGACATCAGTGGGGTTGGGTTTGGAGTGTGGAAATGGGAGGTCTGGGATCATACAAAAGGTTGGGATTGAAGTTGTGGTGCAGGGATGGGAGAGGGAGGTATTGAGTCGACACAAAACATGAAGCCAGTCACGGCCGCTATAACGGGTGCAGAAACCGGATCCCTGGGAAAACTGGATAGTGGCGGTTGGGGTTGAGGAAGGGGGAGGGAGAGGGGGGATTTGAATTGGCTTTAAGCGCATGGCCTATCTGAATTGACAGCACAGTTAACTGATGTCTTTTAGTCGCCTCAATAATCGATGGTTCTTCTCAACATGTCTGTTCATTCAGGCTTCAAAGTGTCAATCACCGTGTCATCTCAGGGTGACATCTCACCTGCTTGACGGTTTCATCTGAGAGAACAAAGTAGACGCCGTTTGGATCGAAGGGCAGCTGTTGGGCGATGATGGCGGCTGACACTATGACGTCCGTCTCCGTGTCGCTGAGGATGGTTCCGTGGGAATACCCCGCGTCATCTATTTCACATGTGAATGTAACGGAGCTGGAGATGAAACGCCCCTCACGGTCATAGTACAGCCGGTTGATGTTCCAACACAAGGGTACTTAGAGAGGGGGAGGAGGAGAGGAGGGGGGAGAGTAGTGGTTTGAAGGGGTGGGGCAAGCACAGGGGCCGTGAAAAAGAGAAGCTGCTGGTTGATGTTCCGCCACAGGGGTACTGAGAGGGGAATGGGGAGGCACGCAAATGGGGAAGGAGGTCAGGCAAAGAGGGAAGTAGGGTCAGACAAAGGGGGAAGGAGGGTGAGGCAAAGGGGGGAGTAGGGTCAGGCAAAGTAGGGAGGAGGGGAAGAGGGTGGATGGGTCGGGGGAACCTTCACTCCCCACGGTTGATGTTCCGTCCTAGCTTTGCTGTGTGTGGTGGGGGGGAGAGAGAATGGGCGAGGCACGGAAGAATCGAGGCAGGCAAGTTGGATTGGGGAACGGGAGTGGGGGGAACTTGGCAGTTGGGGCGGAAAGACATCGGTAAAGGCGCAGTTGATGTTCCACCGTAGGGTACATGTGGGGCCAGGGCGCGGAAGAACCTAGGGAGGCAAGGGGACCACGGAGGGAGGGATTGGGGGAAGATGGGTGGGGGTTGTGTGGGGGGAGTGAAGTGAGACGGGGGCGAACGAGGCTCCATTGACGCTGCAGGGCTATGCGGAGGAGAGAGGATGACATTTTTGTAATCTTATAATACTTGAGAATATAAACAAACGGGAGGGGGGATCCAGGGAGGGAGAAGGTAGGCAGTATTAAATCTCTTCCCTTTAGCGCATTGCCGTTGGCGCTTAAAGGTCATGCGGTGCTGGAGAGAGGGAGGTTGCGGTGAGGGAGAAGGGAGGCCGTTTTGGAGCACCCCCAGCTATGGCGTCGCGTGGTGGTGTGGTTTCTGAGAATTCTCAAAAATATCACTCCCCCCTTGACCACACGGCTGCTGGTGCCTAGTAAATGTGGTGGGTGGGAGGTTGCGGGGAGGAGGCATGAAAGAATAGGGAGGTAGGGAGGGGAGTATGTGTAACGCCTGTTGGGCTTACACGTAAGGGTTGAGTGCCTCCGCTGCGACTCAAATATAACCCTCGTTTTGACCCAGTGGGTAGCGAGGTGTTACAGTATGTGTAGGACGGGGTGCGCCGTGGCGTGCCCATGATCGAGGTATTTGAACTGGGCTGAGCGACCGCGTGAAGACGCGCACTATCTCCTTCTGACTCACCGTGAACTTGCCGTACCAGATGACATACACATTGATCGTCGCGTGCATCACCCCGCAGTACTGCGGACTACTCTGACACTTCTCACAGTCCCACCACGGCTTTATTCCTATCGGGTCCGCGAACGGCTTTAAGTTAGTATCTCCCGCAGCGCCAGCCGCGCTGTTTGATGGTAATGACGCGTTAGCGGCGAGACCGGCGACGTCGGTTGATTGCGGCGGTGTTGTGTAGTAGTTCTTCGGCAAAGACACGCCGCGTCGCACGTTCTAACTCGTGGGGGCGGTCATGGTGGGATAGAACCGCGTGGGGCGGCGGAAAGGCGCTTCCCCGGCAGCCAGAAACTGCGCCATTACCCGTGTACTTCCTCCGATGCTACCGCTGCCATTGCTTTAGCCTGGTCCGCCTGCCGTATGCGCGCAAGACGATGCTACCAGCAGGAGCGTCGAGACGAGCACAATACGGCGTCGCGTTTTTTCGTGATGTCACGTCATTGAGGACGACTGCCAATTCAGCCTAGAACTTGCTTAGGGAGGCAAAATTCAGTTGTTAGGCAGCGAAAGTAGACAACGACTGTCTTAAATTCGCCCGCCGCAATGAGATGTGGTTGCGGGGAAAGATGCATGGCGTGCGCTATGGCAGCGCACGGAAAAAGCGGGAGAGAGGGGAAAGTGACGGTGGGAAGCAAAAAAGGGGGAATAGATGGGGGAAAAGGTCATTGACGGAATGCTTCGAGGAACGAAATTTCAGAGAGGCCGAGGGAGGGCGTGTGCACGGACGTGGTGCAGTTCGCTTCTGATCGTGCATGATTGCCGTGATCATGGCGATTAACGATTTCCTGGAGGCCACGTAGGAATTTGGGCGTCATCAGGGGCAAACGCTTTATCGCGATCAGGGTCTCGATCAGGCGCGATTGATTGCAATTGTTTGCGATCTGTTGATTGGGTGAGATCGGGTACCCTAACGAGCCACACGAGAAGTAACACCTCCGAGCGAACGATTTTCTTGGTAACAGCTGAACATTCGTGCGCTCGGATGGTGCAACTCTGAATGAGTTGACGGCCTATTTCGTTTTCTAAGTTCTGCCCAAGCAATCACCGGAACCATCGTCCTTGCTGAAACATTCTTGGAAAAGTTGGATGGTTTTGAAGGGATTGGATGGAAGGGGTACGAGCAAGGAGCGTGAGGGAGTTTTGGAATTACATTAACAGCTGACTGAATGAATTCCACGCGAGTCGCGCGGCGGCGATTGGATTTGCATCTGCCACTAATTTACAATCAGTAGGTCAACACAACATTGTAGCTCCAATAGTTGTTTCTCACTATTGGAGGTAAACATTATATCTAGCAAAGGCAAAATAACGGACAGTTGAACAATCCCGCTTCGTACAAAACCATGAATATGACTAGCTCGCGGCCATGGATCTTGTCAGGCGGTATGGAAGCCTCAATGTCCACCTCCGACATTAAAAGTTACCATTGGCATCGCTTTAACCCAGGAAACAATAAGATATTCTCTTAATGTCTAAACAGAAGACGTTGCATCTCCATATCATGACAATGGTTGTGTAGTTACAGCGTGTAATGGTGGTATTCTGCTTTCAAAAATACAACCAGCATGTTATTACATCATAAGGTGGCTCATTGACAACTTCGATGTTAACAAATCCCAGGGAATACCCAACATCCATGAAGCCAGTCCCAATGGCCCAGGCATTGAGGTTTCATCCCGCAGTGCGGTCCATGGTTTAGGAAACCACAAAACAGGCTCTCTCGATGATGGCCTTACTGTGCTCAGTTTTTGCCTATCTCCAGAATTTTGTCT